CAGGCACGATCTGCCTTTGGTGAAGCCAAAGACTTAGACTTTGATAAATATTTGTTTTAGCCTATTGGAATGCTGAATCTATAAATAAAGTTTCATACTCGATGATTCGCCACTCTTTCTCCTTCCTCTTTTTTAGAAGGTACTTAAAAAAGCACAATGATTTAATTACTAATTGTTTTCATGCTTTAAATAAATTATCAGCAGCCTAATCACTAAATAGTCAAATTTAGCTGTAGAATCCAGTCCCTTAACCTGCTGGTGCTGTATGTTCTTTAAATCTTAGGAAAGTATGGAGGAAGCATCTCCTTCCCATGCTCTTGAGAACTGAATCAGGAGTGTGTCTGAAGCAATGCTGGCAATTTGTTTGGGTATTAATGAAGATCATTCTTGCTGCCTCTTCCTGAACAGTTACATGTTACTTGTCGTCTTCATCTTCCTCAGATGAATCAAGACCAATCAAGCCAATCGAAGGAGAAGGATGAAAAAATGTGATAATGGTCAGGTGTTCAGATTCATAGCTGAAGTATCTGAGAGTTTTCTAAAGCAGCTATTAATTTCCAGAAGTCAGCATCTTTTCCAGCTCATGGTCCTGTCTGTTTTCCACATCATCTGCTTCTGTCTGTCCATTTTCCACATCACATATACTGTCTCCGCGTGTATTTTTACAGTTGCTGTAAGCATCGATTGTATTAATTCTTATGGGGAAAATGGGTTCATTATCTGTTGGATTGCTAAGTGTCTCACTTTTCAGGAACTCATCGTCAGCAAGCAGCAGGGTGTGGCTGTATTTGCTATTTGTGTGTGTTTGCAGGACTGTTTATTTATGCTTCTGTATGTTTGCAGGACTGAGAAAGAGAAGTGAATAATACACAGTAATTGTTCTGTGTTATAAAATGTATGAAGGACAAGGATAAACTATTAAAAGCAGGTACTTAGGAAACAATAAAGAAGAGGATATTATATTCGTAATCTGGGCATAGCTCATTATTTTGCTTGTAGGAACAATGACAAGGTGTCCTTTCATTTCATGTATAACATGCCAGGTAGGATAAATTTGCAGCTGCTTCCTGGCTTTTCAAAGGATCTTTTTCTCTCCCTTTTCTTTTTTTTTAGCACCTCACCTTTCTCTGTATCCTCCTGATTATATGGCAAGAAACCAGATTCACTTATCTTCTCTTTCTACAGAAACTGGGGATGGTATTTTTGAGATTTTTACCTCCTTTTCCTCGTAAGAGTTATGGGAGTAGAGCTTGCTGCTTTAGCTGGCTATATCTTTTCTAGACAACACAATAAAATTGGCATTGTTCTTGTCAGTGATAAAGCTTCTTAGACAGTTCTTGTCCCTGAGATCATACTTTTCCTTAGATGGTTTGCTGCATTTTATAGGTACAAAAAAAACTGAAAGTACAGCAGTATTAGCATCCTGTAACTCAGGATAAAATTATTGCATCAGATGACATTTGGAAAATCATCTTTATTGGAATAGGTTTTTAGAAATGAATAGTTACATTCAAAAGGCTTCATAATTATCTCCTCTCTGTATGCTCTGAGGAAGTAATTACTGTTCCCTCAATAGTATATTTTTCCAGTTTGTCTTCCTAAATTCTCATTTTTTGGCATTTATCATTAGCTCACTTTTTGTCATTCCAAGTCTTTTTGGTAGGAAAAACATAAATGACTGTCATCCAAACTACTTTGTACTATTTCATCTGTTAGCCGCCTGTGCCAACCTCTTCCTCTGTTTGTAACTTGCTAGTTGACCAAATAATTTTTCTGTTGCTCTTTTTTTCCTTTTAAGTGCTATTTCTATTTGTTAACACTTTCTCACACTAAATGAAACCACAATCTTCCCAGAAGATTTGTTTCTTAAAAAAAAAAAAAAAAGATAGTAAAAACTTAAAAGGAAAAAATTCTATATGTTAGAAAAATGTGGTTAACTAACCCAAATATTTTTGGCCAGAGTTCCAGACTAATGAATAATTTCCGTGAGTCACTGGTCTAGCACTCTGGTGATGTGACTGGAGGACATATTGGAGAAACCACAATGAGAGCCAGCCTCTGCCTTGTTAAAGCTATTGGGAAATTTTCTCAATATATTTCCCTGTGAGTGAAATAAAATCCTTCATTTGTTACTCCACCTCTCCTCAAAAAAAACCCCAAATACCACCCCCAAAAAACCCCAGTGAGCTTGCTGTGAGTCTAAGTACATATCTTTCATCACAGACACTTTTACATCTTAATTCTACATCCCACTCTTGAATTCTGTCAAAAAGTTGCTCTAATCTAGATGTTTCTTGTGACCAACTGAAACTCAGCGATCCAAAGATTTTCCCGCTCTAAGCTTCGTAAGTAGTGTGTCACTTCCCATCGTCATAAATCTCTTGGCAACCTTCAGCACCCTAGACTATACCCTTCCTGAAATTTTAGTTTCCCTCAGTTTCCATGAACTTCTCTTCTTTTGTATTTCACTTAATCCTTCTATAAAGCTCTTAGCTGTTGTCACAGAAGTTGATAATAGTTAGTTTGCTAGTTTAATGTGACATCTGCTTCTGCTTGTCTTTTTTTATGCACCGATTCTTTTCTTTTGCTTAGATAATGCCAACTTTTGTCCAGGAAGAGACAAAATTAGCTCTTCTTGTTCTGTCTTTCTGTAGCACTTAACAGAGCACCAGTTTGGCCTGTGGTTAGAGCTCCTCTGGGGTAGCAGCAAAAGTTGTTTTGTTAGTCCTAATTAAAGTGTGTAGAAACCAGAATTGAAGCCTAGGAGTTTTTATGCACTTTATGCTAAAAGGTTCATGGTAGCACAATCCACTACAGAGAGGGAAAAGATATTGCAGAAATCTTGATTACTTAAATTCCTCTGTTGGTCTTGTGGAAAAAAGAATGCTTTTTCTTGCAAAACTTGACTTTTTTCTAAATCAAGCGATAAACTCCATTGTCATTTTAAAAATATTTGTTTCTTGGTCAGAGCTCCCTTGGATAAAGCCACTGATAGAGGGAAAATCTTCATGTTGCATCTGAGTTGTCTCTTCACTCACAAAAACAAACTAATTTTGTGACCAGCAGGACTTTTGAAGTGACTTGCTGTGGCCGTATATGAGTGAATTATCCTAACTAATGTTTGAAGATGCCTTACAGCAAGGGCACAAATTTGGTTCTTTTATAAGGTTGTTAGTTACTCAAAACTTTGGCATCCCTACTCTCTGTCAAAACTATTGGAAATTGCTCCAGAAATATTGGGTGACTTAAAAACATTGAAACGGAGGAAGGGCAAGTGTAGGCATGATAACATAAGTGATATGATCTTAGAAGCCTCGTTTTCTTAGGAAAAATAGATTAAAAATCCTCTAGCCCTGAACTATTTTTATTTAAGCAGTCTGTAAAAATATGTTTTCCCAACTTTGGATAGATAGTGTCTTGATCTTGTGATTGTGTTACCCTGCATCATGCTGATGTGGTCTGCCTGACCTTTGTTTCTTTGTTATGCCAATCATTTACCTGTATTCATGGAGTCTAGTGATAAATACCTAAGTCAACAAAGCTTCAAGTCAAATGAAAACTGTTATTCTTTTAGTAAATTGCCATAATTATTATCACAACATGAAAGCTGAAGAAGAGAAAGGTAAAGTGGTTTCTGATGGAGAAAATGTCAAACGTCTGGAGGCTGCCAATATGTAATTGTTTAATTTTCTTCTGTAGTGGAAATTTAAAAGTAGAAATAAATATACATTAAATCACATTTAGCATAAAAGAGATATTGTATGTGCATGCTTTGCAGAAAGCAAAACAAACCGACCACATCAAGTGTTAATATTCATCAAGTAATTACATTTTAGTGGTTACTAGAGATCAAAATAGCCTGTCTTTCAGGAAATATCTGCAACTTATACCTCATGCAAAATTAAATTAAAATTTAATTATCCTAACTCCTAACATTTTTTCTAGTTTTAATTAAATTTTAATATGCCATATTTATTAATACAGTACTGCAGTTTTATTTTTAAATAAGACTAGTTTAAACTATTTTAGACTAATTGGTCTGAATTTCATTACTGTCTCCTTTCCTTGATATTATAGTATTTTATGAAGAAATGTCTAGTTTTATTATATATGTAGTAGCTCTTTACATTTAACATAATTTATATGCTTGCTTCGGAGAAAATTCAGTTCCTATGATTTTAAATCAGCATGCTTTTGGATTGTACGTATCAATATTGGTTTGTCATCTTTTTATGGGTATGGAGGGCAGGGACTGTTGACACATAAGGCCTTTGCCACCCAGAATATTGCTCTGGGCTTACCACCTGTGATAGCATTTTGAAAGTTAGGTTTTTTCCTCCTCTTTTTTTCCATGCTCCTTGCCATCAGCATAGAGAGGGAAGAACACCAGTGGCCCTGCAGTGCATCATGTGGGTTCCATTTGTCCGTACCCTTGCACCTTGCAGAAATATAGTTCTCTGGGGACCTTCTGCTTTCAAGGCCACTGGAAGTCTAGGGTTACACACAGTATCTGTCTGAAGACTTCGACTTCCTGGGCTTTAAAAAGGCAAAAGCTAGGTCCAAGTCAATTCAATTACAGTCTGCATTGCTGTCGCTTTCTTTCGCTGGAAAGTACACTGGTTTGTGAAACTTCCTCAGCCGCCAACTTTCCTTTTTTATCTTGTAATTTCTTTCAACTTAGGAAGTTGAAGATTGGAGGAGATTGGTGTTTCTACAAATACTTGCTTTGAAAAGATACTGGGCGATCTGAAAATTTAAACCGGTATCTTGTGTCTTCTGTAGAGTTAAAATACTTTAAAGCTTGAATATATACTTTTTACTTTTTTGCAGATGCAGTCTTGCTTATGGAATTGTTGAAGATCTGAGATCAAAGAAAAAGCATTTTTGCATGCAAAAAAGGATCATTTTGATTTATCTGTTTTAAAATCATCAAGTGTGGTACTTGATGGCTCATCTACAAGATTTCTTCACTGACGTCTGAAGAACAAAGTGCTTTTCAACCTGCACTTCTGTAGCACTATGACTAACTGTAAAGGCAGATCTACCATCTCCAAAACAAATAGCAAAGTTCATGACAGAGAAGGTTTTGTAAACTGGACCATAAATCTTAATACAATTCAGTCTGATAAATTTTTAAGACTGCTTTTGAGTATGGTTCCTGTTGTTTACCAAATAAACCAGGATGAAAGACACAAAAAAGTCAACGGTGTCTGGCAAGATGGACTACCACCAGCAGGACACAATTTTAATGTTAGGTCAGAACAGCACACAGAGTACCATCACTTCTCAGAACCAAGTTTTCATGGTAGTAATGGACACAGCCCATCTAGCTGTAGCCCGAAATATGATGATTTTACCAGTTATAATTACTGTGATGGAATGGACACTTCAGAAACAGATGCCATGTTGCAGGAAGACAACCTATCTAGTGACAGTAATGAAGATGTCATTGTGGAAGGAAGTAGAAAACAACCCAAAGAATCTAGTAGTATTATGGCATTACAGATACTCGTACCTTTTTTGCTAGCAGGATTTGGAACTGTTTCTGCTGGCATGGTTTTGGATATTGTTCAGGTTGGTGTTTGCTTTGAAAGATGTTTTTTTAACAGGTAGTTTGTGGGGTTTATAATTCTAACACGCGATATAGTAGATATTTACAATATTGATCAATTAGATCTGTATATGGTTGTGCTACTATGAACTTCTTTCCCTCAAACTTCATCTTAAACAGTTCCAATGTTTAATTGGAAGTTTAATGTTTAATTCAAGTCTTGGTAAGCGCTGTTGCTTCGCCACAGTGATCTGGTGAATTGAACTGTTACCTTCTGCTTTAGCTAAGTATGGAAATATAATAATGGTTCAAAGTTTTGTTGACACTAATAAACGTATACATAGTCAAGCGGGAGTTGTAATTAACCATGATGCCGCAATACGTAAGAGTTTAAAGAGTTTAAAAAGATTAGAAGAATTTATTGCATTATCTCATCTCCTTGTGTGTGTCAAGTCTATGCAAATTCTGAATCACTGTGTAGATTTGGTCCATGATAATGCACAAGGTATATGAAAATGTACATTACCTTCCTATGTTATATGAAATTCATATGAATTGATCTAGAGCTTTTTTGAATATTCAGGTGTATGTAAGTGACTTTTTTATATAATATTAGTTGTACTTAACACTCAGAATTACTAGGTCCAGAGAAGTCAGATGATCTTGGTGTGCAGTAGCAGGTTTAACTGATGGTGGTTATTCAGGACTAAGATAAAATAGAAATTTATCTGAATTTTAAGACTTAAGTTTAATAATATTTTTAAAACCTGTTTAGGAGTATTATATCATCATTATATCATCATTTTAGTGGAGTTAAAAGTAACAGTTGCCTATGAAATAATTCTTTTTGCAGTGATATTTGAAGAAAATTCTGAAGAAATTAGCAGTTAAAAAAAGTTTATTGAACTAGCTTATTTTCTTACCTTCTTTTTTTTTTTTCATTTTGAAGGCTATATTTACTTTTATTTCCTACCTAATTTTTGTTTTTTTTTTTTTTAAAAATCAAAATTTCTTATAAATACATATCTCATGGATTCTCTCTTCCTGTATGAGTAGATTCACAAAACATTATTCAAAAATTTGAAATAACCACAGTATTCAAAAGCAAAGACAGTAAAGAAATTAGTCTGGTTTTTTTTTCTTTTCTTTTGGTTTGTTTCATTCAGCATTAGGGTTTTCTTTAGCTACGCTTAAGGGTTTACAAAGTGAATTTAAAGAGGAGTAAGAGGTAACCATCTTTGTCATTCAGAATCTTGAGTGTAAAGGAAGCTTGGACTTCAGTCAATTGCAATGAAAAGACACTTTTGTACATCAAGAAAAAGGAAAATAAAAATCGACATGCAATCTTTACTGCTTCCTTGCACTGTTTTACACCAATCTTGCCCTTTGTTCATTTACATCTTTACTAGTCATTCTTTGTACAGATGCTTTGTTTTTACACTGTTAATATATGATTTACTTCGTGATACAGCATAATGATCAGCCAAAAGAGGCAGTTGTGCCTACTGCCACTGCTGGCTTCTAATCAAATGTTTTACCTTGCTTTTCTTCCCTTGAGGGAGCATTAAGTGTTTGTATGTCTAGTTTTTGAGCTGGACTGAGATATGTCTTGATTTTTCCTTCCGTATTACTTTTCATCTTGATTAGTTTCCCAGTCCAGCTCAGCATGAATGAGAGAGATGTGACACAAAGGCAAAAATAAATAGCTAGTGTCAGTACTTTTTCATCTTAAAATAAGCATTAAACTGTGATGTCAGTAAAGCAGGATTTTGAAATGTGACAGAACATGTTTTGAAAATGAAAATTTGAAGACAACAAAGTATTCTAAGCTTGTTTTTTACAAATCATTTCATGGCTATTCTTTCCCAGTAGTAAATACATATGTAACTTCACATATAGGAAATTCTCAGAATCTTGCTTACATTTGAGAATTGAATCTTTTAATTTTAATTAAAATAATAATTTAAATGATTGCAAATCCCTGAATGCAAACAAAATTTATGGTTTTGTTAGTTTAGTTAAAGTTGGTTAATGATTACGAATTAAATACATGGATTGACAGACATACAAAGTAGCACATTTCTGTGCTGAGAATGCAGTTCACAAAAAAATTACAGGAGATTTTGTTTGCTTTATAAAGTTTGGATTTTGAAAACTGTACTCTTCTAAATTTCACACTTAGAAGTAAACGAATAAAGAGAAGCTTTTTTCACTTGCAGGCTCTGTTAATTTGACAACTAATTCCTTGCTGATTTTTTGTGAGGTTTCTACACAGCTGGAAGGGAAAAGATGAAAATATTATTGATAATAATTAGAGCAGAATTCAAGAGCAGTCATAACACCTGGTACTGTTTCAAAGTAATGAAAAAAAAAAAAGACTTGAAATTGATGACATCTTTTATTAAACAGGTTTGTTTTAAGGCCAAGTTTTGTATCTCTTACTTTTGGTATTCTCATCTTTGAAGTAGTAATATGCAGTCATAAATCTGTTTTATCTAGATAGATAGCAGTTCTGGCCTTAGATCTTCAGGTCTAATATAAAAAGATTGATTCTTTTTTTTTAGAGGCTTAACTTATGAGTTACAGAATTTTTTTAATACTTTGCGGATGGTCTAAAGAGAATTTTTTAGTTGAATGTTTCCCCTTCTATCCTTTTGATAGCATTGGGATGTGTTCAAGAATGTTACTGAAGTTTTTATCTTGGTTCCTGCACTTCTTGGTCTCAAAGGAAATTTGGAAATGACCTTGGCATCCCGGTTGTCAACTGCTGTAAGTAACTTTCTTATCCCCTTTGCTCTTCAGATATATGTTGTAAATATTTCGAAATGAAAGCAAATCTTTGGAACACAAATGTTTTATATTTATGGCTTAATCTGGCTGTTAGGGGACTCTTTAAATCTGTTATTAACTTGGCAAAGTTAAAAAGGTGACCCTCTTCTAATCTCCACACAGCAAAATTTTACTTCTTTCGTCTATTCTGAGTTAACATTCAGAACAGATAAAGTAGATTTTTGAGATTTACATGTGTATTCTGTAAGGTTGACAGATCTTTTGGCCTTGATGGGATTTAATAGACTAACAAAATGTGTACATTTTGGACACATTTTTCTAAATACCACTTGTGTGGCACCAAAATAAGCTAACATTGCTACTCCAGACCTTTGTTGATCAAACTATAAGAAACTCTTCTGTAGCTTTCTGACTAAATAATTTTGTTCGTTTTTTGCTGTGGTGTAGTTTTGGAGATCTGCTTATTTGTGTGTGTGTGTGAACAATATAACAGCATAACTACGTTTTTTCTGTCTTCTTTCTTGACTATATTTGTCATAGTTCTTTTCTACATCTCAGGGGATGTTCCATTCCTTCCCTTTTCTAGCTTAAGCCAGCCAGATTACCTTACCACACAGCTTTTTTGTGTGTGTGTGAATAACTATAGGGAACAGAATGTTCTCATAATATGGCTAAACAATTTCTGGTACCTGAACTGAGTCTCTCTGTAAGACACTGCCTAATGCAGTGTTTCTGCTTTGCAAGACAATTTTTCCTTTCTCCCACAAGACCCCCACTCTCTGCCTGTTCCTGCTTGAATGAATCTTTCTGGAAAATGTTTGGTCAAAGGTGTATATAACTGCACATGAGACTTTACTATGGCTTTCTAGTATAGCACTTCCCTAGTCTTCTCCAAAATTGTTCTTGAAACTTTCTAGGTTTATATGTATTTATTTTTCTTGCAGTGTCAGATTTAGGCCTCACAGTCGAAATCTGTGAGGTCTGAATTATGATCAATGACTGTGTCCTAGTATTTCTCCTTCTAGTGGTTATTTCCAACTGTCACTCCCATCTTATTGGTCCATAAGTGCATGACCTTGCATTTCTATTGTTGACTTTCATCTGTTTTCGTTGCTGTAATCCTCTAGGTCAGCCGGTTTTTGTACGATATTACAATGCTTTGTATTGACAAGGTCTCCCAGTTTCCTGTCATTAATAAATTTCATTGCCACCTTATATTGAGTTATTGCCCAAATGCACATCGTGATGGAAATAGCCTTAGCAGTCCTGCAAAGGTTTGCTTGTGTCATGCCATTATAGAAATTGATTACTTTTGCCCTGTACCCATTCTTTCATAAGTAAGAATTGACATGCTTTGTTGTATCCTTGTCAATGGCAGCCTGAACTATTCAGTCTTATATTCTGTTTAATTTTAATGCTCTTACTTTTCTGAGTATTTTTACTGTTTCTTAACACTATTTTGTGTTTAAGCCTTACTGTATTTACTGTCCGGCATGAATACTTTTGCCTTTTATCTTACTTTTTTTTCATTTTGACCCATTGCTTGATTTGTTCCTGACTGGTATAGTTCATGGCCTGAGGACTGAAAGTGCTTGTATTGCACAGTGAAAAATACACCAAGTCCAAGATCTTACTGAAGGCTTTAAAAAAGCGGGTCAGGATCAGCTCCACCACTTCTGCTTCAGTTAATGGGATTGTTGTTTTTTTGTCTCAATTGAGCTTATAACCTTTGCCAGATCATGACTCCCAAACTTCTTCTCTGGGCTCACCAATGACCGATTTCCCCATCTTCACCAATGCCATCTCATTTGGGAACCTCGCAGGTTTCAGGGCCCATTTGGAAAAGGATCATGCAGACCCTTTTTCTGCACTGGGAATCCTGACCTCAGTTCATGTTATTCACCAACTGTCAAAAGTCAAGGAGTTGATCTCCCTCACACACACTGAAGGAGGATACTGGAGTTTCCACAACACTGGCTGCATGTTCAATGGTTAACTAAAGTTGACATCATGAGATTCAGGCCACTCCCTCTTAGCCCAAAAGGGCATTCTTAAGAGTATCCCATTAAATGTGTGATAACATGATCTGTAGATGTCTTGAACATGATTTTTCAGAGCCAATTTGTCCATTTGGAGGCCAAGCTCCTCCCAAGACTCAAACTTAACAGCCCAATCTGAGAGGGCTTAGTTTGAGGAGTGTTACCAGTGCAACTTACCACTGTCATCAAGTCTCACCAAGACATAAATCAGCTGATGCTTCAAAGGTTTTTACTCAAGCATGCCGTGAAGGCTTCCTCCCCAGTACCAGAAATTGTTGTATGTCTGTCTTGGCCAAATCGTGTTAGTTGGCTCTGTTCATGTCCTTCCACCATGAAGGTTAATTAACTAGCTACAAAGAGGTCAGTGAAGTGCACGTATCTTTAGACAATGCTATGTGGCGTGTGAGAGCTTCAGTTTCTTTGGCATTGCCTGAAGTCACAGTCACGGCACCACTGGCACCAAGTTATTTCCCAGCTTTGCATCAACAGACTTCTTATTGTATTTTTTTTCGTTATTTGTTTGCTTGTTTGCTGTTGTCTCTAATTTCCTTGTATGAACTGTTTTCTTCAAGAATCATGGCAGATCCTGGACTGAGTTACACAGGTGATTGAAATACTTTCCAGGACTTCCTTAGTCATATCATAGTTTCATTGGACATCCTTCACCGGAACGAGTTAGAGGCTTGTTATGGTTCCATGAACATTCTCTCCTCTGCCAATAGTGACTCTAATTTGTTCTAGCTCGCGAAGAGCTCATCAGTAAATGTTGCAGAGTGTGTGTGTGTGTGTATGCACATATGTACAATACAGTGGAGGTTTAAGAGAACAATGTTGTACAAAATAAGATCATTCATCATCAAGATAATGCTAACAAGATTATATTTAGTTTTTATATGTGAAAAAAAAACCAGAAAAAATGGCTTCTATCTTGCAAAGAACCTTCAAACTCTCTCTTATGTATCTTTTCATGCTCAGCACCAGTTACAACGTGCACAGCTCCGTGAGCTGGTGGATAGCCAGCCTCATGTCCTTGAGTGCTACTGCAAAGGCAAACAAATACACAAGAATTCAGTACTGTTTCTAATTGTTAGTTTAAAAACAAAAACAAAACCCTTTGGAAACATGTTACATATACAACTTGGGCTTAGTTGCCTGATACGAATTTAAACTCCAGGTCAGTTGCCTTGATTGCTCTGCTTCTCCTAGGTTTTAAAAACAGGTGCTGTGTCATGATGTATCATTCCTTACTGGAGAATTTAATCAAAAAGCTTGCTACTGGACCTGCAATTTATATACCAATTCTCCCAGACCTTCATGAAAGAGGTTATGCTGACTTTTGCACTCTTCATATTGATTTAATTGACCCCTACTCTCTTTAGCCATCCAATCTTTGGTCCTGTCTTCCTCATTCTAAGTGCAAACTGAAGGAGTATATTATTTCAGGGCATATCTGAAGTTATTTGGGGGCCATTGTGTGATGAATCTTCCTTTCTCTGACCTAAATTTGCAGTAGCTCGCGCCCCACCAGATACTGTCTTTACAATAAATGCAAGACTGAGCCCCTGTAAATAGCTTTACCTTTGAGGAGGAAATTTCTAACATGAGTTCAGCATTGGAGCTAGTTCATACCTTTTTTGCTCCATTAGCTTATAATTGCATCTGAATTTGTAGACAAGTCTGTGCTCTTGGGGCTGTAAACTAATTATCTTTACTCCATTGTAATTATGTAGTCAGCCAAAAAGTAATGTCTTGTTAGCAAGTTTCTGTTATCCATAACATATCTGGTTTCAAGTTTTGCCTGATCATTCATCTTGTTGCTCAAGTTCCTGTTTTTGCTGCTTGTTACTGGTCGCTCACAATCTCCCATCCACTTTAGAATCAGTCATTTCGCTAAATGTGTCTCAAGACTGGATTTTTAATCTACCTCATGGCGTAGCTTGTACTTCTCTTTGGTGTTAGTGTTACTGTAAACCATTCTCCCTCCCGCTACTGCTGTGCTGGCGTAGCTGTGTGAGGTGTGCTTAGGTCAACTGCCAATTCAAGCACAATAATTATGTTGTGTGTTTTGTATTCTTCGGCTTTGTTCTGTAGTTTGAGTCACTCTCATTGTCTCAGTTCACACCATTGCGTTTTCTCCCTATTCCTTTTTTTTTTGAGAGGAAGTTAAATAAAGAAACACAAACTGACACTGAAACACCACTCATCCAGTCATCCCTGTAAACTTACACGCAGACTCTTGTTTTGACTGTGTGTTATCAGGGTTAGGCATTATCAGTATGACTTCACAAACTTTTTGTTTAGGTCCATCTAGTCCACAGTATCACAATAAACTTGATCTTACTTTATGAAATCTGCAGCTGAAAAGAGTCGTCCTGCTCTTTTTCTCCCTTCCATGCCCTGAGAGCATTTGTGGATGATTACATGGTTGCATGGATCAGATAATTTTGTAGAAGATAACTCCTTTTTGCTACCTGAAGAAAGTGTTTTCCATCAAACTAGAAAGCAAATTTATGTTGCCATGAACTCACTCATGGAGTTGATAGATCTGCTTCAAGAAAGAAAACACGAATGTACGAATGTATAGCTGATATTAGGGGAGAGGAGAACTATGCCATTTGACAGCAGCTCACTTTTAGGCTGGATTAAACATTTTGCAAAGATGACTTTTTTTAACAGGGATGTTTTGGATAGTTTTCAAAAAATTCTTCAAAGGAGTAAAAGAGTGAAGCTCTACATAACCTGCCGTGTCATTCATTTAGCATATATATTTAAGAAGGATTCAAAGGAGATCCTTATCTGCAATTCCTTAAATATTGCTGTAATATTTAAATTTAATGCATGTATTTGTGGAGTTTTGTACTTTGAATGCTGTAAAATATTTATACTATAGTTTGAGATAAAGTTTCTTATTATATTTCTAAGTTTTTGAGTTAGCATTTCTTTTAATACTTTGTTCCTCGCAAGTCACAACTATCACAAAATGGAACAATGTGGAAAAGAAATTAAAGTAAAACCAACTGGAAAGAAATTATCAAAAGGTATTATCTTAATGTGTATCAATACACATTAAGACTTTGTTTATTTTGAGAAGTATATTACCTTATAAATTAGTATTCTACGGTAAAAAGCACTAAAATTTCTGCTCAACATGTAAAAAATTGTTCAGTTATCACAAAAAGGAAGTTATTTTAAATATAGTCAGTACTGCATTGGTACATGCTGTTCTTCAGATCTTGTCCTCTAACTCAATAAGTAAAAGTAGGAAATATGTCATTAAAGAGTACGTACATACTTTTTAATTTCTTAGAATAATTTCTTTTCTGTCTTTCCAGTTATTGCCTTAGACTGGACTTATATAATTTACAGCATCATAAGTCTCTAGCTTCATTGTATAAATGAAAAGTTAGAATACTAAACTGTATTAGTTGTGGTTTCTGATCTTCTGTAAGCACTTGTAGTTTCTCTATGCTGGTAGTTTTGTTGCAATCAATTAACTTACTTGCATGAGAGAGTGTGTGTCCACACACATGTATCTACACAAGGGCTGTAGAAACAAATTCAGTCAAAAGTGACTCCACACGGATGAATTTCCCTTCCAGCCACTGATCTACTCACTGGTGGTTCTTGGACGTTCCTGCAATGTAAGGTGGCTAGTGTATCTTGCACAGTAAGCTAATGTTAAATAAGTTACTATGTAAAACTGCATCAAGTTTAACAACTTTTGGATAGATACTGTTAAGTACAGTTTAAAATAAACAGCAATGCTTAACTTGAATAAAAGTATAGCTTGGTTTTAACTTGCTTTCAAAATGTCTTTCATTTTTTTCTATGAGTTGAGTGATTTGTGGGTTTCTGTCTTGTTAGTACATTTTCAAGTAATACGTTTTTAAACCTAATTATCTGAAATTCTTTTGTCGATTTGATAGGTAAATATTGGAAAAATGGATTCTCCCATTGAGAAATGGAACCTAATAATTGGCAATTTGGCCTTAAAACAGGTAAATATGTTGGACTTATTTGAATAATTCTTGTAAGCGTGCACTTATTGAAAAAGTCCATTACAAACATTGGTAAGTATGGAGATGTACAGTGTTAATGGGAAACTAGCTCTACTACACTGGTTTATACTTCACATACAATGTTTGCATGACTAATTTTTTTTTGAACGGTGTAGTTCTTCTCTAAAACAATATAAGCTTATATTTATCAGAAGAGATAAAGTATTCTTTGTGACTGTACCAAGGCTATTTCTTTTTTAGTTTTTCTGAGAGAGGATCTGAGGATGATTAAAGAAAAATTTCAGGTTTGGCAAAACCTTTTAAATTTAACATCTCAAATATTTTCAGTACTATATTTGCATTGGATTCAATGTTTAAAGGAATTACGTGCTGGAGCTTTTGAACAATAAACAATATTTTAAATAGCTGGGTCATTTGAGGAATGATTGTTCTCCAAAGCAACTATTTCTTAAGATTAATAACTATTTCATGTTCATATGTTATAATACAGCATGCTCAAAAAATAGATGAAATGTTTGTACTGTGACTTCACTGTTTTAGGTGGCCTTAGGAGCCTCTTTAGACATTTCAGCTTTGGTTACTGGTTAATCCTCAGCCCTTTCCTCTCATTTTACTTTTGTTATTCTTGAGTCTCTGAAATGCTGATAAAGCCTTTTCTGCTGGCATAAGATTTTTCTTCTTGATCATCCAAGGTTATCATCATCACTACAAAACGAATGAGCATGCTCCCTTTACACCTTGCAAATAAATGTAGATAGGAGGAAAGAATAACAGAAGCTGATCCTGTAGTCCTCATAAGTCTATCAATTATTTTAAGAACTGTTCACCATATTTTTCTTTTCCAGGTTCAGGCAACGGTAGTTGGTTTTCTGGCAGCAGTGGCAGCGGTTATATTGGGCTGGATTCCAGAGGGCAAATACCGCTTTGATCATTCAGTCCTTCTTTGTTCTAGCAGTGTAGCAACTGCCTTCATAGCTTCTCTTTTACAAGGTAAAAGGAGTATATATGTTACTTTTTACAGTTATTTAGCTTTCTGTGGATGCTGAATGTATATTCTGTTGCTATTCCTTAAAAATTTAATTCCTATAAGGCATAATACATCTGAAGCACAGCTGAGGATAGGATGCCCTTTTGCAATTTCCATGCAGGCCTGCGTATTGCATTCCTCTCCTTCGTATTTTTTCAAAAGGTTTGGTTTACATGACCTCCTGAGCATATCTAAAACAATAAGAATGTTTTTTAGATTTTACCTAATATGATGGATAACTTTTTTTCCCCTGCTTTCTATAATCACTAATGTACAAAATGTATTTTTAGTGCTAAACAGGTAGAACTTATTTGTAATTAAGCTCAAGTGAGCCTGGATGTTAGCTCAGCTGAATCCAAACTCCCTGGCTGTCCATGCTGCTTGGATGTTAGTTTGTGCTCTGCTTTGTATCTGAACGAATTGGCTTGTTACGTGAAGGATTTGGGCCAACTTCAAATCTGCCTCTACAAACAGTGCCAATGTCTGTCTGGAGCTGTATGGCATGATGAATTTAATCTTCTCTTCCTAGTTGTCAGGAAACATTTAACCATAAAAGACGTTACTTAATGGACATGAGAGGGGAAAAAAACCTACCTCTACTTGTGACATATTCTTAATGAAAATACATAGTTGGTAGTCTTAATAATAGTAAGTGAAGTAAAATGTTTAACTTCCTTTTTTTTTACTAATTTGATATGCTTGCTTATGTGAAAGTTACAAAACCGTCAAAGTTTTGTGTGGAATTAAGAGCACACACTTTTTTTAGTGGCTACAGAGCCATTTAATTTGATCATGCACAGAATTAAGAGCAGCAAGAGAAATGGAGAACATGAGTGCACTTTTTCCACTTCTCATATATAATCTGGGCATGAAGAGAAACTTTTGCTGTTATTTGGTGATGAGCCAGCAAAAGAAATTACTTTCTAAGCTTCATCCTCCTACATGTGAAACAGGTGCTTCTGAAATATTGTGATCCTACAGGATCCTACAGTTCTTTCTTTTGGGAATTTAATGGAGTGTAACTCTTTAGGCAGTTTCTCTGGAAGTGAAGTCCTAGCATAGCCTACAATACATAATATTGCTAAAATACATGAAAATTATCATACCATTTTTTCAAAAATTCTTTAAAATAATGTAAAGGAGACTATGCACAATAGAAGTTATTATGTGTATTATACAATGAGAGGGAAATTACTGCAGTCATACCAAAGAAGACGTAATAACAATGTGAATTTTATTTTTAGCAGCCACTTTCATTCTGCAGGGAAATGCCTCGTAAATAGTTAGTGTTGCTGCTTATAGGAAAAAAGTAGAAATCAACATCCGTAATTCAAAATTTTTTAACTGTGTAGCAAGTCATATTTTTATATGTTGTCTTGTTTTTAATATGTGATGTAGCTTCTTGATGTTTGGTGCTAAGTCCATGACTGGAAATCTTGCACAATAACAGATGTCAAAGTATTTAGTCTCATGTGGTTTTCAGCCTAGTGTAATTTAAATTTCAGTCAGCTAAAGTTAATAGGGTGCAGAAATAATACACTGCATATTTTTTGTCTTCACAAAATGACTGATTTACAATTTCGGTAGCTCTAATTTTAATCATAAGCAAAATAGTTCATTGTACAGAAGATTCTTGTTTTGTGTCTTTTAGTGTGCTTACTGTATTTTTTTTAATATGTAACCTCATTATGAAAATGGCTAAAACTTAAAAATACATCAGTCAGATGGGAAGAACGATCAGCCTGGGACAAAAGCACTGACTTCATATTTATCAAGTTTGAAACTATCGTCATCTTTGAATTTTCTGTGGAGTTACAACAGTAGATATGGTTACTGTACTGTCGTCTTTGTTGAATCTAGGTATAATAATGGTTGGAGTTATTGTTGGATCAAAGAAGACTGGTATTAATCCTGACAACGTTGCAACTCCTATAGCAGCAAGTTTTGGAGATCTTATCACTCTTGCTATACTAGCATGGATAAGTCAGGGTCTTTATACTTGCCTTGGTAAGTATGTTTCCAAGTGTCTATGTCTCCCTAGGAACCTCTTTTGGGTTAGGAGGGTGGGGAGTAGGCAGGGAGGGCAAGATTTAGAAAACCTTTTTGTTTGACTGACTTTTTTGTCAACATTTATACTGTGGAATGATAAATCTTGGGTTGCAATATTATGCCATGATATTTTTTTTTTAATATTTTTAAGATGATAGAAGTCACTAACCACAATCTTGGCACAATCTACTAATATCTGAAAGACTCTCACAGTATCACAGTCAATCTACACGTGGATTAGAATGTAGTTGCTGAATTTACTCTGCTTTCTTTTAGGGGGAGGGAAGCTATCTTCCTCCAAGTTTTCTTGAATGCCCATCCCTAAATCAAATATTTGCTTTGCAGAGCCCTTTTGAATTGTTTTCCCCTTGAACTAAGGGGAAGGAGCTGAACTGGCTATCTTGATAAACTGCTAGGAGAGGAGTTCTGCAATGAGAATTTTTTTTTTGTTAGGGTGTGGTTTGAGACATCGTTCAAATATATGTTGAGCTGCAGCTATGCCCAGAAATCAAAATAAAAATAATTTAAGTAATTTGAGTAACAACAGCAAGCCTACAACAAGCACGTATTCAAAGAAGTGAAGCTTAGTTTTGATAAATTTGTGCTTTGTGATTGCTGACTTTTAAATGAGTTACACAAAGACTGTTGTGAGTTTCCTTCTGATTTCTTCCAAGCGCTTTCCAGCTCCCATTGCAATACCTTCTTGTTTCCTCATCTTCCCTAATCCAGCTTCCAAATCCAGTTTCCTTAGCCATTTCCTATCTCGTTTCCCTCACAGTGTGACACTTCCTTGTCTCCCTCCTGTTCCGTGCGCCTATGCTTGATTTTACCAGCATTTCTTTCTACTTTTCAGTAAGCGAAGTAACCACTTTGAGCTTCTCCAAAAAATTGCCCTTCTCTCTTCTGTTTTCTTTGTTTTGTTTTGTCTTATAAATTTGATGACTTTATTGCAAACATAAATCTGCTGATTTAGCTGTAGCTTTCTTCAGAACAGCAGTTCTGCCATGAAAGACGAAAAAATGTAAACCACTCTGAACAGCTAAGCAGCAAAGGAGAGGCCTTCTCTGACTGGTGGCTACAGAGGGCAATGATCTAATCCTACTTCATGCATGAATTCTGTCTGGCTTCTTGATGACAGTTTTTTAGTTTACTTATTTTCTCACTAATAGCTGTGAACAGGTGAATTACACATAAACAGCACCAAGCTAATTTTCTTATGAATGGTTATTTTTTTCAGTCTGCAATTCTTCTCTTCTACCAGTTATTTGCATGTTTCTACAGCCCCTTTGAAACTGTTTTCCTGATTTATAAGACCTGTACTGTCTAAATTATACCCTCTTAAAGGAGCAGACCACTGAAGAAGGTTCATCATCACAGTGTCTGCTAAAAATGAATATGCTTATAATTTTTATTATTAGAAGCATGCTCGGATAGTGGCTGATGTAATGAAATGCTTGATTGTCACAAAGGAGGTGTCAGCTTGGAAAACAAGAATGAGGAACTCAACAATCACTCTTTTTCTTCCTGTTTCTTCATCCTCCCCCATGAGGAAACAAAAAATGTGAAAACATCTTCTCATAGGAGGAGAAGAATGTTCAGAAAAACATTTAGAATTAAATTATTGCTGCAACTGACTCCTTCCTTAGAAACTATTTAAGATATACTGTGTTTTAAAAGACATAATTGTAGACAATTATAGTATAGTATACAACAGGCCAAATTTTGTGTTGTATATAATTGTTTTACCAGACATGTTGATATCACCACGTATATTCTGTACATCTATGCTCATCGTTCAAGCCTTTTTATGTAAAAATTTGAGCTGTTCTGTGTAAACATTACAACATCAGTCAGAAAAGGTATCTAATAAGACTCAAGCTACCTTGGTGTGACTTACCATTTTGCTTCTTAGTTTTCAACTGATGATTTTATATTTTCAGTATTTGCTTTTTCATATTTAGAAAGTGTTGGCGTGATGTTGGCTTAAATGTATCAGTGTGCAATACAGCCATTTTTAATATTGTCTATATTTTTTAAAAAAATTGTATTGTTTATTTCATAAATTTATTCAAATAGTCTATATTATGTTATAATAACTTATAGTTATCTGATAACAAATACTTCCTTTAGATACTTCTTTTAAGGAAGTTTATAGATTTAAGTGAGAAGAAAATTAGTAAGGATTTTTTTAACTTTTTTTTCTTTCTTTTCTTATAATGAGAAGATCAGAGAGGAAGCCTCTATTCTCATGAAATTTGGTGTCTAGCTAATGCTAGGACTGTGATAATAATTGGAATTTAGCTCATTAGAGACTGTTTGTCTGGATCTATTGCTGTGCCCGAAAGTCTTACTAGACTGGAACGTCAGGTTATTCTGCTTAAAATAGGTTTCAGGTCCCAACAATTGGTATGTTTGATTGGAATTCTGTTCAAATTAGGGTTTATGCTAGTTAATCAAGTGCCAGGGAAGTTGGTATGCCAGGTAGATGGAAGGGAGTTAGCTAGGAGAGAGTTAGCTAGGATTATTGGCATATACTAGCTATCTGGGTAGATATGGAGTTGAAAGAGGTTGCAAAATTTGTGTTAACACTGAGATTAGATTTGGGGCTAGAGTTATGATTAAAATTATTCTAGTCAGGACCGTGTCTGATTTATAATAATTAATGCTAGTCTTCAGGCTTTAAATGTTAACTAGTAATGAAGTTACTTAGGAACTTGTAATGAAGCTTCAAATGAAGCTTCTTAGGAACTTGTACCCTATAGGTCAAACTTCATTTTGTTTTTTAAAATTTTGCTTTGTAAACTACATTGTCATGAATACGCCAGTGATTTTTCATTTGTTTCCTAATTTTTTCCCTTACAAATATTAGTTTCTTATGTATTTGCTTTGTAATGTTCTCTATATAAGTGCTTAAGTTGAACCCATGTGACTCAAAGACAGTAAATCATTACTTCTGAGTCTTACTGTTTTTAAACAGTTTCCTCTACTCCTTTCCATTTTTTTTTTTAATTGTGGCCACAGGCAAAACTTAGTTACATGTGCTGGTATTTTAATAGTAGCTGGATTTTAATAGTAGCTACTTTTGTCATTTGTAAATAAAAAACATACATTATTTTGTGACTATATCCAGTACTGCTTCCTATGCTTCATATAAATTACAGATAATATATTTCTTTTTTTTTAAAGGAGTAATTAATTAGTACTAATATTTCAGTTTCTCCTAAAACATTGTTTTTTTTTTAATCTAAAAGAACCAAACAAAAACCACTCAACCCCAAAAAGAAGATGAGGAAAGAACCTTGGACTCCTTTCTTCCTTTCACCCATTTTCAGAAATTTACATCTCTAGTTGCAGATGGCCTAATGTATCTCAGAGGAATGAAAGAATGAAGTGGTGCCAGTTTGAACTGGTCCTTTGCTACTTTTACAGCTGTCAGCTAAGAGTTACTCCTCATTTTCTTTCTATATGGTCTTCTGGAAATACTTCTCTTTTGGTGATATGTGTAATTATGTGTTACTGCTAAAACAGCTGCTTCTGCTCTTTATATTTTTTTTCAATGTCTTTGTATTTTTTTCTGTTAGGAAACAGAGAGTCTTTCTAAAGTGAGAACATATCACAGAACCCTTGGAAATGTGTGGTTTCCAAGATGCATGTATTTGAACTATGAAATAGTATCAAGGAATAAAAGTATGGAGTAGCTTCAGCTCAGGAGAGGTATATAAAGTTGTGAATGGCAGGGAATAAACATTCAGAAAATGATTAGGCAACAGGCTAAAAAAAAAAGTTAAAGAAACTTTTTTACACAATACATGATTGAGATATGGAACTTACTGCCATGATGTATTAAGAGGACCAAAGTGATTTTAGAAAAATATTTGGATAAATTAATCAGAGAAGAATCCATTGAGGAGTATTGAACAGACAGATGCAGACAGAAACTTGAGTGATAAATCCCTGAGGCAAACAGCAGCAGAAGCTGGCAGAGCACACCAAAAGAAGCATCACTCTAAACTTGTCATTTTCTTTTCTTCTTTCCACAAGCCTGAACTGTTAACCATAGTCAGACACAGGATACTGGACTAGATGAGACCTTTGGCCTCACCCAGCACAGATGTTCTTATGTTCTGTTTGTCATTTCCTTGCTTTCTTAATGCTGGAATAACAATCACAGTGGGAATGTTATAAAGAAACCCACAGTTTATGGGCTAGTAATGAAGCAGGTGGGATTCACCTCTGAACTGCATTCTGAACTATTTTCCCCTGTGATTTACTAGCCTAACTACTCCAATGTACTGAAACAAAGTGTAAGGTTCTGGCTTCTTTTGGCAGGGGAAAAGTTGTTTTCAGATAGCAAAACGGGAAGGGGGAAATTATTTATGTACAAGCTTTCTGCTTGTCTGGAACAGAGCTGTACGCCTGTGCTCAGCCTTTGGCTTGAGAAGATGCTTCATGACATACTCTAAAGAGGCAGAGGAAAGGACCGTCGCGTTCTTACCTAGGCTAGGGTCAAATCAAACATCTTGTTTGGCCTCCATCATATATATAATTTCTTAAAAGTTCATTTGAGTGCTTTAAAAATAATGGCAAAGCTATCAGACGTGAGGATTTAAATAGTAAAACGGTAACAGTTCTTTCTGTCTTTAACAACTCCCTAAAAAGAACTGTATCTGTGAATCGTTGTTAAATAGCGGGGACGAGCACTAGAGGGCTCCCCAGGACCGTCGCTGCGTCCCGGCTCCTGTCCCTCAAACAGAACCCGGGGAATGCTCTGGAATAGGAAGACCCAGTATATTAAACGTGGAGGTCCTTGTTTGTCTTTGTCAGTAACTTTCTGAAGACTTCATTTGAAACTTTGTTTTCTTCTTACAGAATGTAACAAATATATGCATTTCTCTCTTGTGCATGTTGCATCTGAGTTGAGGAAACAAATTGAGTGATTCACATTATTATTTTCAGGT